CGCAACTTCGAGATTAACTATCAACTAAGACCACAATCACTATCACTTGTAAACCTAAAACATATTTTCAGCAACTAATGATACCGCTTCGAGAAGGCGAGCTTACTTTTAACTACAATCCAAGTCAAATAATGTATCACATTGGCAACAAATCAAATGAACTATAAGACATATCGACAACAAATCAAGTTGAATTTCAGTATACTGAATGAATAGTGTATCACTTGCAAAATTTATGAATGTGCACAAAGCATTAAATTGAAGTCAAGATTTGAAATTTTTAGAGAGAAAATAATATTTAAAAGCATAGACATTACAACCTAAAGAACCTTGAATAACAATATGGAGAACTCATTAAACATCGTGCATACACCTCACAGTGGTTCCTGTCATTTTTGCTTTCTTTTGATGTAAACCATTCTCAAATGTGCCAAAAAAAAAAAGGCTTGGCTCTTGATCAAAAAGGCTCCTTAGTTCTTCTAAAATTCTTTGCAGTTTTTGGACAAAACAAACACCAGAAATATATGAACTCATCCTTGTTCACAAATGACCACTTAGCTTGAACCAATCTTAAGTCCTCATACCATAGAACGTACAGAAAAAGATTGTAAATAATATAAAAATATGTAAAACTAAAAAAAATAATAAACTCAAATCAATAAACCACTTTTTTAGGAGATCATCATGCCGTTGGAGTTATGTCATTGCTCATTGTTGGAGGTGCGCCATCGTGCTATAGATGGTTACTACAACAGACAAATTAAGTTCGCTAAAAAATAAGGATAATGGTGGCCCGCTCATTGAAGGAATAATATAAACATTTTGTGTTTCGGTGACTATGGTGGGTTTCAGTTGCAATGTGTGCGTGTGGGGGTGGGGAGGTGTTTGTTGGCTAGGGAGGTTTCGGTGGCAGTGGTAGGGACTGAGGAGGAAAAGGGGCGGAGGTGCTGGTTGGCTGCAAATAAGAGTTTGCCTTTAATATATAAGGTGTTTGGTGGGCTGTTATGAGTTTCGATGGCAGAGGGGAGAGGGAAGAGGAAAGAAAGGGGTGGTTGCAATAAGGGGAGACATACGCAGAGAGAGAAAGGGGGGAGGGATACTCAGGTGAGGCTTCAAGATTGTCGATGGTTGATCACTGTGTCTCCGATTATGCCTCCATAGTGTTGTTGTAAAGAGAGAGGGTTTCGATGAGGAGAGAAAAAGAGAGAAAAGAAAGGGGCGTCAGTGGCTATAGGAGCGATTTAAGCCAATTTGAGACCTAAAACAAAAATATTAAATGAAGACCTTTTTATTTTTAATATTATTTTTAAAAAAAATTAATTTATTTTTAATTTTTTATGTGAGAAAGAGACAAAAGAAGGATGTGTTAATATTGTCGAAAAGGAGATTTCCACTTTTGTTTTTATTTTTTATCACAAAGAAAGAGAAAAAATGTTTAATTTTAACTTTTATTTTTGTTTTTTTTACTGGATGGAGAGAGAGAGAGAACGAAAAAGAGAATGGATGGGAGTAAATATGAGTTGACTTTTAATTTTTTTTTTATTTCTAAGTTTTTAATGTTATGGATTAGATTATAAGTCCAAATTATTGCAATAAAAAATTTGATTGGATTTAATTTTTTGGAACTTTTTTATAGAACTTAAAATTTAATGAATTTAATTTTTTTTGTGGGTTAGCGATGTATCTAAAATAATTGGGTGAAAAAATCGAAATGGATGCAGGTGATAAAGGAAAGCAGAGTAAATAATATAATATCATCATTATATTGAATATTCTAAAACTGTGATGTGAAAAAGTGATTTCTTTGATATATAAAAGATATTATTTAGAGCAGCATGAGCGGATGTCAAAATTTAAATATAGACGTTAATTTTAGATTTTGACAGAATTTTAAATTTAGATGGTATTGATTTTGGGCGAAATTGAGAGGCGAATTCCATGTAGGGGTGTCAATTTTAGAAACTAAAAATTTTGAGTAGCAAAAATATTTCAAAAGAGTTAATGTGGTATGTCGGATCAAAATGATCTGAGCCGATCTTTGTCTCCAAAATTCAAAATTGTTCTACTTTATTATATAGATTTATAATTTATATAAAATTAATAATTAATAAAAGTCAGAATCGGAGTTTTTTTAAATTGTTGCACATTGTTAAATAGTGCAGCGACTTCAATTTAATAATCAAAGGGATAAAATTCAATTAAGGTAGTAACTTTTTCCACATGCAACTTGAGTTATTGGTCTTTTCTTTTTCTTCCTCTTGTTTTTTCCACATGAATCCGATATTTTTTTCATAGTGTTATTATTACATCATATATCTTAAATCTAGGTGTCATCCACCGAATTCAAATAAGTATCGTACTAATACACAATAAGTAATTTAGCATTTAATATCCCAATTCATTTGGGTTCAAATTATTTTCTTATGCAGTTCTTGGCATGGGAACAACCCCCCCCCCCCTCTCTAATAAGAGCTTGTTAAAACAATACAATGGTGACCCAACTAGACAAATTGCAAGTTTGACTGTGTGTAGGCTACTACTACAAAGTCCTGTATTTTTTTTTTTTTTTTATGGTGAGTAAACTTTTTTAAGGTAGGATCACATTAGATCCACTCTTAAATATTCATAATCACTCATTAACAATTGGTATAAGTCAAATTCAAGAGTCATCTTTGAAAATCATATGCAAGATTTCTTAGCTTGTGATGTGATATTTGCTTTTGTATAAAAAAAGATGCATCTTTAGCTTGTGATAAAGACACACAGTTGAGGAAACAAATGCAACACCATCTTGAATAAATGCATGTGTCAAGAGGGATTTATGGGCCATGGTTACAGATTGGTAAGGATCTTCATGCATTATGGTGCACGGGTCTTTGATATGTGGCTACAATGCTGCTCCCATTTAGCTACTGTGAGATTAATGAGATTGAGCAGGTACTCGGAGGGTGCGCTGGCGTTTGCTCAAAATTACTGCCCTCCATGGCAACTTCAATGTCTAGTTCTTGAACATTATGCCTTATGGCGCGACAGATCAAACCATTTAGGTGAGAGAAACTCAATTGAGCACGAAAACGAAGGATCCTTATGTCACAGAGCTTCGCACGGAGATGTCCATGATTAGTACCTTTAGCTATGTGGGTGGTTAAGTACTTAATGGTTTTGGAAGCATTGGAATGTGAGGTGGTTGTTGTGAAGTCCAGATCAGGAAAGGAGTACTGCCAGAGATCTCTCCATCGTTTTGATAAGATGCAAGTTTGTGCAATGGATCTGATGGGAAGAAAGAAGAGAATGTGATGAAGAACAGCGTCTAGAAGATCACTGATCCGGTCTTCGCCTGATCTGTCATCTTCCTTGTTAGCCTTCAGAAGCTTTTTCTTCTTAGCAGATATTGTTTCCATGAATCATTTGGTGTTTCTTGTGTTTCTTCAGTTTTTTTATCACTCTTGAGACTGTATTTATGAGGTAAATAGATTAGGGTTTGAAACTTTCAACAAGTGGGATATGGAATAATACAAGAGAAGAGTGTTCGAGTTTGTTTCGATTCAAAGCTCAAACAAGGATTTAAAAAGATGACCCAAAAAAAGAAAGGAAAATAGATATTAGACAGAAAAAAAAATGAAAGTTGGATATTAGACCGAAACAAAAATTAAAAGATGACCAACGGAGAGGAGTGTTTAGGCCCTTGTCAGTGTTTGTCAAGTAACAGAGGTGACAAATCTTGGTTTAATTGTAAAGGGTGTCAGTGATATTTAAATATAAATTAAATGGAGTTTTAATAATGTTTTGAATAATAGAGGAAATATCCTTAAAGATATAATAAACTAGAAGGAGTGTGACTAAAATTTTCCCAAAAATTAAGTATACTATCTAATATACGTATATCATATGTAAGGGCATTTATGTAAAATAGACTCCTTTGTTAACGCCATTAGTGGAAAACTTATGATGAGAGGTGTCAGTGAAATTTCAGAATAAGCAGGGGGTGTCATTGACTATATGGATAACTATAGGGGGTGTAAATGAAGTTTACTCAAAATATTATAATGGTCTCTAAATTATATGGTTTTGTTTTTAGCTTTGATACTTTTTCTTTTCATTTTTGTAGTCCTAAATTTTTTCTTATTTGAGTAAAATTAGTTCAATTGAAAGCTATGTTGGCCAACAAATGCAGCCGAATGCATCTTGTGTGATCATACTTGAGTGCTAGTTTTGGTAGCCCCATAAGTGCTTGCCCTCAAAAGTGGATGTATTTTCACGAAGCTCTCAAGCGTAAGAGAAATTATCGTATAGTAAATTGGAATATAATTCCAAAATTGTCTTCTCAAGGAAGTCGGTTGTAGCCAAAGATGATTAAAGAAAATAAAAATATTATTTGAAGTTAAAGAGTATTGTAGTAGCTAACTAAGTAAAAACAAAATTTAATTAAGGAAAAGAACCAGATAATCATCGAATTTTATCCCATCCATGAACATAAATTTATACTCCAAATCTACAAATCATCCAAGTTCGTAATCAAACTCCCCCAGACGAATGGTATACAACAAAACCGTAATTAGCGAAAATAGTGATTTTAATGTCAAATAGATTGATGAAATAATTCATATCCCATTAATTGCAGAGACTCTAGTTATTATCCCTCCCAAAATCAATTGCCTACGAATAATACAAGATATGGCCGATCAATTAGGAGATGCATACAATAGCATTTCTTTGTTATTGAGTACATCAATGCATTCACATGTAATATCAAGCTTGAAATTCAATAACCCAAAGCTGTAAGCCAATTAAAAATAACATAAAGAGCTTAGACAAACATACACTATGCATGCAACATCAAATACATCAAACTGGAGAGTTCTCAAAGCAATTCAAGATATACACTCATGGTGCGACTATAATAGTACTGATAGGAACTGAAATGAGAGTTTCACTCACGCCGTGCTCTGTGACATTCTTCCTTACGGCATGTATCTTCTTATCACTTGTCTTCCTCTTCTTTATTTGACCTCTTCCTCTTTAGTCTCTTCCTTTTTGATATCTTCCTCTTCCTCTTTCTCTTCCTTTTTGATCTCCTCCTCCCCTTTCTTCCAATATCCTAGAGTCTTGAAATCACAAGGGAATGACTGCAACGAGTCACAGCGACTGACCTCCAAGAACCTCAGTTCAAACATCGCACTTTGCACCCTTGCCCATTCCATCTGCATTTTTGACAAAACCTTCAAACACAACCCTTCTACTTTCTAAGTGTTATCTTTTCTTGTCCCAAAAGTCAGTGTGTATGTGCTCGAGTACCCTAGAGTCTTCAATACAAAGATATTGCTGCAGTTACGGGAGTGAAGTGGGGTTTATTCATTATTGTGTACTTTCTCCAAATTAATGCCTCAAATACAGCTCTTCAAGACATGTCGAAGGGAAAAGCTAATCAAGCTTTTTTAGGATATCATTGTCGTCACACTCCCTAGCATTGATTGATAACACTCTAAGTTGTTGAAGTTGTGCTAAGGGTGTCACTTCCTCATCCTAAATTATGATTTCTTCTTTTATCTCCATTTGCATCACCAGAAGGCTGGACAGACCCCTAGGCTCACCAAGATGACAACCTTCTACATCTGTCAAACTAGTTATTTTGAAACCATACAGCTCTTGAAGATTGGAAAGTCTTAAAAGTCCCTGGGGCAGGCACTGGAGTAATGGACAATTCCCCATATCCAAAACCGTTAATTTTGGAATACTTGTTATCAATGCAGACAACTTTTTTAGGTTCTTGCATTCACCAAGGATCAAAATATGGAGGCCCCATATCTTTCCAATCGAGTCTGGCAGTTCAACCAATTTTGTAACATTGCGAAGGTTTAAGTAAGCTAGGTGTTTCTGGGAAGTGATCCAATGCCATAGATCCCTTATAGTAATTTTGTCCAGCTTAATATGCGAGAGGTCCAAAACCTGAGAGACTTTACCATGGCCAACCCCTATTTAAGTGAATCGAACAACTCTCCATACATATAATAATGCCCTTATCTTTGAGTTTCCCCGTAGGAGATGGAGATCCATTTCACTTGTGGCACCTAACCGGAGAGTATCAATGGCGGGTATCTGCCTATTTTCTTTGTCAAAACTGTTGAATGCCTCTTCCCTTACAATTTTAATCATCAAATCTCAGACCATGTCATGCATTTTGCAACTATAGATTATTCCATCATAACTCCTTCGTTGAACAACTTCAACCAAGCATCTACTGATCAATTTGGACAGGTAACAATTAACCATATCTCTTGCAGGTTCTATGTTTTCCTCGCGGACAAAACCTTCCCCCACCCACCAGCAAAGAGCGAACCAACTGCTCAGTGTTTATTTCGTGGTCCTCTGGGTATATTGAGAGTCATAGTATACAATGCTTTAAATGTGTAGGAAACTCATCATAGCTTAGCTGCAAAGAATCTATAATAGAACTATTCTTTTCTGCTCCTATTTTTGCACGAAAAAATTTACAAATCTGCTCCCACTTACAAAATGGACGGATTCTTTGAGGATAGCAAACCTGCTATGGCCTTGATTGCTAACGGAATGCAGCCACACTTTTTCACTATCTCCTTTCCTATTTCTTTTTCAAGTCGAAGTTCATACATTTTTCTTTTTTTGACTTGAAGGCAACTTTACAGAATAATGACCAATCCTCTTCTTCATCAAGAAGCTTTGGTCGATGAACTCGTGTTTTCCATCACTCCCACGCTTGTCACAACATGCTCATTCCTTGATGTGATTATGATGCAGCCACTCTGCTCCTATGTATTTGGAAATCCGTTTGAGATTGTTTCCCACCATGCACTTTCAATGTTTCATACATCATCCAAGACAATTAGGTAAGTTTTATCCGAAAGCACCTGCCATATTTTGTGTGGCAAGTCACTGGTGGCTTAATCATCTACTCCTAACTGTTTCAAGATACTCTTCAGTATTTCATCCTCATTGGCGTTTTGAGTTATTGGAACCCAAATCTTCTCTTGAAATCGAGCAATGGTAGTTTTGCCCAAGCCCCTCATCCCCACAATACCAATGTGATTTAATTCCTCATTTTGAGGGAGAATCCACCCTTTTATTATTCTAGCATCCTCTGTTAACCCAACTATTTCTGATTATTTGAAAACTTGTGAACTCTTCCGCGTTTTGCCCCTGTTGTCTTCGCTGCGAGATTGTGCAACTGCCTTAAGATATATAGTCAAATTCGGTTTCATTTGCTCAATTTGCTTGCTAATGTTGACCAACTTCTTTTCTGATTGATAGCGGAAGAACAGTTCACAAGAAGATAGATGGTAACACAAAAAACTCTCTTAGTTCTTCCGATAATCTGCTCGAATTTGACAATCTATCACTAGGTTATCAACTTCATGAATTAGTTCCCTCAGTTTATCTAAGGTTGCTTTAAGTGTTTCCAACTTCCCTTTGAGCTTGTCCGTGTCAGTAAGGAAGGCCTGCATGAGAGTAAGTTCCCTTTTTATCTCCTCAGACCAAGTTTGAAATTGAAGAAGATTCTAACCAAGGACATAGATAGCATTGGGCAAATCTTTCACAAAGAGTTGAATCACTGCCTCCGCTACCTCACCTTCTGCCATTTTGCCTAAGAATTAAAACCAAGAACTATACACTAGGCAATTAATAATGGGTTGGGTGTTTCAAACAACTAGTTTAGAATATAAATGCAGAAACTCTTAAGGCTATGTTCCATTGCGCATTTTTCTATTTTCTCATTTCTGCATATGTATGAAGTGTCAAATTTCAATAGATTTTTTCTAATACATTTTTACTAAGCCAAAACACTCGAAAAAAAGTTAAAAATCCCTATAAGCCTTTGGTTCGACATATTGATAAACAACAGATACATAACATTAACGGCACCACTCGCTTACACAAATAAACCAAGTGAATCAAAATTTAAAAAAAATCTAAGAAACAGTCTATGCACTAATTTCTAACTTGCATTTCATGCGGAAATGTAATGGATATCAAAGTAGCAGAATTGAGGAAGTGACTGAAATGTAAATTATCATCTCGCTTTATGGAAACTACTAGGATTAATCACAAGGAATAAAAATAAAAACTCAATTAACGTTTGATTAAATCAATTTCTTTGCTAATACAAAGTAAAATTTCATCAAAATGTCCTTCATAACAAAAAATAATAATAACTACTTTTTAATGCCCCAACCAACCCTGTCTTCACTAACCCTACCACCACCACATCTCCACCATCTCCCCAACCCCTTGCCACAATCACCACCATCGTTGTTACCATCCCATTAGCACCACCATTTCAACATTGTACTTGGAAAAAGTAGCAATGAAAGAAAAAGGTACAGTTTGCTGCTAGGACATGAACTGAGCATATTCCTTCCATATAATAGTAACCAACTCACAGTAAAGAGGAGTCGAACGTGCTGATGGAGCAGGTAAAGAGGGAGCTTCATCCTAATAGGAGACCTGATTGGCAACGCAAGAGAGCTTACCATGTAAAAAATAAGCAACAGTGCGGTTAGTACGACCACATGAGTACATAAACGACCCCACGACCTCCACTACAGGTCCTGAGAGTCACGGCCACTGCAAGTACTACCATTATTGCTATTAGAGGCAACTAAGGTTGAACGATTAGGAGAAGGACCATGATCAATGGTGGAAGTAAAATGAGCATTGGACAAGGTAGCATGTTGTAAACGGGAAAAGATGGAAGGTTGGGACCACTCGAGATCGGGCACGAATAGTTTCATAGTTTGGCTTTAAACCAACAAAAAAACAAACATCACTCGAATCCTCACATTGTTGCTGCCAAATTTGAGCATCAGTGGTGAAAAGGATGGTAAATCCTTAATTCTTCACAAACTCTCCGAACTTGGGAGTAATAGTCCTCTAAACGTGGAATACCTTGGTCAAGACAAAAATATTGCTTGTAGACTTCATATGCACAAGTAAAATTACGAGTGCCAGAATACATGAGTGCCAATGATCCCTAATGTCTTTGGTAGTATCGAGATAAAACAATGTAGAACGAATATGAGGCTCAATGATGATCAACAGTAAGGAAAAAAACTGTACCTTCTCTTGTTCCTACTAATCGAACTTGGGGTCATTGTCCTTGGTACCAAATACTTTTTTAAGGCCATTGCCTTTAAGAAATACTAGAACCGAACGGAGCCATAAAACATAATTAGTCCCGTTGATTTTGACCGAAGTCATCGGGCTATTAAAATGGGCAGCATGGGAAAGTGTGGGTGGTATGATGGGGGCAAGAGGCAGAGTATTAGTCTTAGGCTCCATATTAATATCACAGATGTTGAGACAAACCAAACAAAGTACATCAAGTCACCTGAATAGTGCAAAGTAGTCAACGACAAGAGAATTCGAGGTGAAATGGATAAAGAACCAAACGAGGAGGGCTAACAGATGCCAAAGTAGCCTTTGGACAGGGCTAAAAACCCTAAAAAATAACTGAACCAACCTAAAGGGTGTCTGAACTGGCTTTTAACAGTAGCTGAACTAGCCTGAACAGGAGCTAAACCGACCTGGAACCCTCCAAAGTAATTGGAAACAACAAAAAGTATCCTCTAAACCGGTTGGAAACGCTCGAAAGTAGCTGAACCAGACTGAACCGGCCTAAATAAGGCTTGAACAAGAGCTGAACCGGCTTGAAGCAGGACAAAATTGTTTTGAACTAGCTTGAACTTGATTTGTACCGATTTAAAATTGAATCGAGTTAAGTCTAAACTAGTTTAAACCTAAATCCTAGGGTTATTGGACTCACCAAAGCTGGGCTGAACATGTGGGCCTCTATTGGGGCTAGGGAGTTGGGCTTGGACAATGGGCAATTAAGTGAGCCCCAATAATGGAGCGATCTAGTGGAACTTTGTCTTCTTCACATCGAAGGGTTCAATAGAACCCTAGCTATAGACGGTGCACAACAAACATTTCGGTAGCGACAACGACGCCACAGTAGAACTTCGACGACCACCACAACACACTCACAAAAGCCTCCGGTAACTGAACAACACCAGAATTGAGTAAAAGCAGCAAAGTCGAACACTACGTTGAAACCAAATCACACCTAGCAACAATAAAATCGTGTCAACAACATCAAACCACCGACAACCACTACAACACAACCAAGAAAGCTTTCACTGACAGAACGACACTTAAATCGATTATCAACACTCAATTCGATCACAGAATCTCAAGTCCATCGCATGGACATACATGAATGACAACACCACAACTATACTCCATCACCACAAACAATAACGATATCTAACCATTACACACAATCACTCGTTAGGCATAAAGGACAGAAACCCTAGACTATGTTGTTGGTTGCACAAGGGACGGAGCAACGAAGAAAAGTAATAACGAAAAAAGACGAGGAAACAAAAAGAAACGAAGAAAATAAGAAAGACCAGGGAAACTGGGCAATGGGCTCAAATTTTCAGATCAAATTTGGATCAAAACTTATTCTGATACAATGTTTAGTTTGGAGAATGAAGAGAGACAAAACACAATTAGTATGGAGAATAAAAAGAGACAAAACACAATATGAGTGAGAGATCGAGGGGTGAATCAAACTTGTTTTGATACTATATTTAGTTTGGAGATAAGCCTCACCTGGACATGACCTGATGGTTAGCCCATTTATTACCTAAACTTAATAAGGCTTCGCCAAAACCCGCTAATTCGTGTCGTGTCAAATTTTGATAGGTCTCGTGGTAATGAGTCGGTTTGTGGGTCATGTGTCAGGGGTCGAGTCGGGTTGTGGGACGAGGTGTATTAGTGTGTATTTGTTGTATACTAGTGTGTGTGCATTTGCGTTGTATACTAGTGTATGTGTATGTATTTTTTAGTGTATTAGTGTGTGTGTATTAATGTGTGTGCATATTTTGGTTTATTAATATATTTAGTTAATTTTATTACTTGTGTTATTTAATAGAAATATAAATACTCAACCCAGGTTACCTAGTTGTAATTCATCTTAACCCGTTTAATTAAAATGAATTATAATACTAAATTCATTTAGAACTCACATTAATTAATATAGGTACCCAACCAATTTATTTATGAACAGGTTTGATAGGTTAAACAGATTAATGGGTAATGAGCTAAAATTGCCACTTCTACTCAATTATGCGTAAGTTGGCTTGAACAAAAAAAAGGATAATTGCACTGGAAGTCTCCTAATGGTTGGTCTTATTTCAGTCCCTAATTTTTCAATTGCATAATTTTGTTTCTTGAAGTGTTGAATATGTTATATATGTTGTTCCTCAAGCAAACATTATCTAAATTACTAAAGATTTTTTATCATAAACTTATCACGTGATACCTAAATTTGAACAAAAAATAATTTGAGTAGCTTTTGACAAAAAATGTGTAATATGGATAGCTCTTGACTAAAATTTAGATAACTCACGATCAAAACTGTGTAAATTGAGTAGGTCTTTGACCAAAATTTGGATAAAAATTTAGTCAAGAGTTATTCAAATTATTTTTTTGCTAATATTTAGGTATTACAGGATAAGTTTATAATAAAAAAATCGTTAGCAATCTAGAACGCTATCTACTTGAAAGACCACATAGAAATATATTTAATATT